AGGGTGGCAGGGGCAGGCCACGCAAGGAGCTGGGCTTTGGCAGGAGTGCAGTTGGGCATGGAAACCTTGGCTTGCTCTGATTTGCCTCCAGTCCCCTTATTCTGAGGCTACTGAGGTAGGAAAGGATATCTGCTCCTTTGCTGCAGATAGGAAGTCGTAACCTGAATAGGGGCATTGGAAGTCACCTCCTGAACCCCTGTGAAGTGTCCGATTTCCAGTTACTGACCCCTATTCCCTCCTCCACGGATGCTCAGTTCTGACTTCCACGCACAACAGGGCTTTGGGACATTTGTGCCCACCCACCACGGGCCCTTCAGTCTCTGGGCAGCTCTGCATGATAGAAAGTTAATCCTCATCACAGAATCAAGCCAAAAACTACCCCCTTCTCTCTCTGTATCTTTCTCTCTCTCTCTCTCTCTCTCTGCTTTCCTCTCTTTAAACATATTCTTGAGTGAGAATTTAAAATAAATAAATAAAAAGAAGATTAGCAAATAAGGGGGCAAAGATGAATGTGCAGGGGTGTTCACTGAGGCTTAGTGACAGCAATGAATCAGAAATCACCTAAATGCTCAGCACAAAGGGATTTGTTCAACAAAGTACGGGCGGTCTGTCTGGAACGCAATGTCTGAAAAACAGCACATAGTAGAAAAATACCGACATGGAAATATGTTCCTGATGGGAAAAGAAAAGCCAACTGCAAATGAGTATCCTAGCCACTGTGAGAACTTGGGCAATATGGCAAGGGTTCAATAAGCAATAATTCATAGCTATCAGGATGGACCTTATAAAGATTCTACGGCTGCATACCAAAATATTGTGTCAGCGTAAGCATTTTCTTTTTGAGCCCTTCTGTGTCTTCCTACACTTTTCTCTTGTCATCAGGAACAAACAACAAGGGTCATGTTATTTAAAAGACTGTGTCTCGCCCTGACCTGTTTGGCTCAGTGGATAGAGCGTCGGCCTGCGGACTGGAGGGTCCTGGGTTCGATTCCGGTCAAGGGCATGTACCTGGGTTGCAGGCACATCCCCAGTGGGGGGCGTGCAGGAGGCAGCTGATCGATGTTTCTCTCTCATCGATGTTTCTAGCTCTCTATCCCTCTCCCTTCCTCTCTGTAAAAAATCAATAAAATATATTTAAAAAATAAAAGACTGTGTCTCTCTAATTCTCATGAGGTAGGCTTTTGTGTTTAAAGTACATTGGACCCTGGCACCCAGGCATGGCTCTGAGTCAATCACCCCGGCTGGCCCCGCCCCTGAATCGCAGGCCCAGATCTGGGCGGGCCGGGACTGGCTGATGCCGGGGACTTATTATGGGTTTCGGTCACATATGCACATTCCCATCCCACCCTGGGCCTGTGGTCTGGACGCCCAGGCTTTGTGGACAGGAGTTAGGAGATCACGGGGGCAATCCACCACTCTGCTTTCAGTTTCCTCTGTTGAAAATTGGCAGGGGATGGGGTTGTTTCCGGAACTGGGAGCACTTTCCGACCAGTCCAGAGGGTCTTCCTACTCTTACCCAATCCTCCCTGGCCCCGCCCTGCAGGCCCCTACCTTCTGGAGCTGCGCGGGGTTCAGGCAGGCCATGAGGACGTGATGGTGGTCGGAGTGGTGGAGTGGTCGGGTGGCTCTCAGCGCTGGTGCTGTGCCCCGCCCAAGGTGGAAGAGGAAAAAGGTCAGAAGGGGAGAGTGCAGAGAGCCTGGGAGGCCCAGAAGGACTTAACTATTCCCTCCCCAGAGAAAACTCAATCCCTGCCCACCTCCACCGCAGACCAGCCTGGGCCTAAACCCCAGTTTTTTCAGGCTCCCTCTGACTTCTGTGCCCAGAGGGTCCTTGCCTCGCCCCAGCCCCACACCCTGGGTCCATCTTCCCAGCTAATCCAGGATTAACCCTTTCTGATCTCCTTCAAGGTTTTTCCTACCCTCCACCCCCTCTCTGGGGCTGGCTGCTTACAGGTGCCCAGAAGTTGAATTTAAGAGGTATCCAGCCCTAACCGGTTTGGCTCCGTGGACAGAGCGCCAGCCTGCAGACTGAAGGGTCCCAGGTTCGATTCTGGTCAAGGGCATGTAGCTTGGTTGCAGGCACATCCCCAGTAGGGAGTGTGCAGGAGGCAGCTGATCGATGTTTCTAACTCTCTAGCCCTCTCCCTTCCTCTGTAAAAAATCAATAAAATATTTTTTAAAAAAAAGAGGTATCTAGGAGTAGCGAGGAGCGAGTGAGCGAGCAGGGGTTGGTGGGCGGCAGCAGCGCAACAATGCCTAAGGCAAAGGAACTTGTCTCTTCAAGCTCTTCTGGCAGCGATTCTGACAGTGAAGTTGACAAACAGTTAAAGAGGAAAAAGCAAGTTGCTTCAGAAAAGCCTCTAAAGAAGCAAAAGACGAGTGAGACGTCAAGAGCCCCGTCATCAACAGAGCAGCTAGCAGCAGGGATGACAACATGTTCCAGGCTGGGAAAATGAGGTACGTCAGCGTATGGGACTTTAAAGGAAAAGTCCTAATAGAGGATATTGGATGGATCCAGAAGGTGAAATGAAACCAGGAAGAAAAGGTATTTCCTTAAACCCGGAGCAATGGAGCCAGCTGAAGGAACAGATTTCTGACATTGACGATGCAGTGAGGAAACTGTGAAATCTGAGCCATATAGACCTGTACTGTCCTAGTTGTTTTAACCTGTCTTTTTACATTGGCTTTGTTTTTTAAATGTTGTTTTCCAGGCTATTGTATATTTCGATTGCAGAACAATTTGTAAGAATACTTTTTTTTAAATGTGCATTATTAAAAATGTAATGTGCATTATTAGAGCGTCGGCCTGCGGACTCAATTGTCAACTTTATTAAGGGGGTTGCTTTGTTATACCAATGCATACTTGATTGATAACTTTCCCTTTTTAGAAACATGACCTGTTAACTTGATTGGGTAGATTTGAAAAATATTCCTTATATATACAGAAAGGGTAGTTAGGACACAGAACTTTGATTTTGGTGTAGAAGGAGAGGGGATAATTGTTGACTTTCCTAGGTTTACAGGAATTTAAGGGGTGGGTGCATTTCGAAACAACCTGCTAATAGAGAGATGGTGCTGAAATCTGTTATCACCTAGGCATTTTCCAGCTGTCTAG